CTATACCTTTTTATATACCTCTTTTTTGTAGCAAAATAAAACTATATATATTATTACTATATAAATATTATAATTATTATATTTATGATAATGATATTTATCATACTTTTTTTTTTTGCTAAATAAAATTGCTATAGATAGATATAATGTTTAATATAATATATGTTTTCATGTATTTTTGTTTACTAATTAACTCAGTTATTTAACAGTAATTATTTATTAGTTTGCCAGTTTTATTTATTTATTAATGTGATTTATGTACTTTATTTATTTTATTAATATCTTTATTTATTTTTAATATTAATATTAAAATATTTGTATATTTTATTTCTTAACATATTTTTGTTTATTAAGTAATTAATTAATTAATTTAATAGTTAAACTATTTTTGCTTGAACTCTGCATCTTAAATGCAAAAAAAAATGCAAAAAAAAATAAAATGTAGCACAACCTACTGACACTTTTTTGTTTTGTGGTGAAACTATATATATAAATTTTATTTCACTACAAAACCAAAAATATATACATTTGGGAACCAAATTATATATATATATATATATATAAATATAAATATAAATTCAAATAACTCTTACATTTAATTCCAGTAAACATGCAGATTCCTTGTTTTATATAAATTATTTTGCATCTAATTGGTACCATTGGCTATTTGGTCAAAATGAGTGGAAAAACTGAAGTCCAGATGTAACGGTGTTGATGTTTCTCACTGAAGGTGGTGGATTTGTTTCTGCGTTCACATCGCGACTCATTTCTGTATTTTTCCTGCATTAATGAGCGATCATGCGATTTAACCTGAGCTTAAAACATTTTCCAAAACCTGTCGATCAATATATGAGCAGAGGATTGTTTTATGACATGCCATTATCATCTGTCTCTCTCTGTCTCTCTCATGTCCGTACGGTTTGTTTCAGCCCTTCACCACAAACATCTCTTTACTGGAAGCTCCGAGAGCTCACAAGAGCGGCTTTCATCGCTCACAGTTAATATTTACCCAGCAAATAGACTGTTTCCATCCTCAGCTAACAGTTTAGTACAGCATTTATGAATCTAGGTCACTGTTAATGTATAAATATACTACAGTGTTCGTTTAACATGCATTAAATAATATTAACTAACATAAAGGAAAAAATGAAAATTTGCCCAAAAATTAAAAAGTGCTGAAAATGTGCTCACCCTCAGGCCATGCCAGATTAGGATGAGTTTGTTTCTTCATCAGGTTTGGAGAAATGTAGCATTGCATCAGTGTCTCAGCAATGGATGATCTGCAGTGAATGGGTGCCGTCAGAATGAGAGTCCAAACAGCTGATAAAAACATCACGATAATCCACAAGTAATCCACACCACTCCAGTCCATCAGTTAATGTCT